AGTAGATATCCTAACCGACTTGCCAAAACTATAGTTTGTTAACAAGAAATGTGTGGAGTGGTTGAAAAACGAGTTATAATGACTCCAACCTAAGTGTATGTAAACTTCCGACTTCAACTGTATAGCACTCAGTTGTTATTTCCCATCAGGAGTTATTGTCTCTGTTTCCATGTTCAGACGCATTCCTTTTTTTTGTATCGTTACGTATTCGTTTATATTAAACTCTCCAACTGCACCTGCATCCTGACTCCCTGCATCTACATTACAACACTATAAGGTGGATGTTGTACGTATCATGTATGGTTCATGTATGGTTCCACCTCTTTAAGGAATACCTGGGATAGGCTAAAGTATTCCTTCTAACCCCCCCCCCCCCCCCCCCAAATTGTAAAGTGGTTATCCCACTGGCTATAGGGTGAACGCACCAATTTGTGAGTCGCTCTGGCTAAGAGCGTCTGCTAAATGACGTTAATGTGCCCTTGAGCAAGGCACTTAACCCTAATTGCTCCTGTAAGTCGCTCTGGTTAAGAGCGTCTGCTAAATGACTAAAATGTAAATGTAATGTAAAATGTTCATGGATCATAGGTTCTTACAGGAGGCATGTAGGTCTAAAAAGGGCCACTTTCATCCAAAAATTGCTTGTGATACAAATGTCAAAAGCATGTCAAACATCCTTCCTCCTAATGATGTTTCCATGTGAAAATTGGCAGAACAGTCTGAGTTACCAAATATATTTCCGGGCTATCCTGCCGTGGAATCGCCCCCAAATGTGATGTCAAGTCACTCTCTTTCAGATTAATAATAGGGTATTTTCCATTTGATAGTGTTTTGATATCTGTGTGCCATTTCAACCGTGTGGCTCAGTTGGTAGAGCATGGCACTTGCAACGCCAGGGTTGTGGGTTCAGTTCCCACGGGGGACCAGTACGAACAAATATGGAAATGTATGCACTCACTACTGTAAGTCGCTCTGGATAAGAGCGTCTGCTAAATGATGTAAATGTAAATAATATTGTTACATTTAAAGTAACTTCCCAGTGTTTCCAGATTTCTATGAAATATTACCTATAATTAATTACAAACAATATGATTGAAATATTTTTCAATATTCGTCACATGCTTCGTAAACAACAGGTGTAGACTAACAATGAAATGCTTACTTACGGGCCCTTCCCAACAATGCAGAACATTTTAGTTATGTTAAATATCTTATTTTCTGTGTTGGAATGGTGTGGACATAACCCAACAACAGAATGGTGTGGGCGTATACCAGTCATTCAAAATATTGATGCGAGTAGACCGCTGATTGGCCAGTTCATCCTCCTCTAGAACGCTGATTGGGCATCTCATCCTCCTCAGGAGTATTACATCATACAACATGAAAAAATCGTTGAAACAGTCTGTTTCTCCAATTTATGCTTTGGCCACAAATAACCAACTCATTACATTTACATTTACATTTTAGTCATTTAGCAGACGCTCTTATCCAGAGCGACTTACAGGAGCAATTAGGGTTAAGTGCCTTGCTCAAGGGCACATCGACAGATTTTTCACCTAGTCGGCTCGGGGATTAGAACCAGCGACCTTTCGGTTACTGGCACAACGCTCTTACCCACTAAGCTACCTGCCACTCATCATCAAGCTTTGATTATTTGAATCTAAGACAAAAACAAAAACTTGCACCCGGGGGGGCCCCAGGACCGAGTTTGGGAAACCCTGCCATAGAGTACTGTAGAGAGAATAATGTGCAAAGTAGAATAAAATGTCACCCTCCCCACAAAAAAAAAGATACGCATGGAAAGGTACCCTTGTTTTGTAGGAAAGGCTTTCTGTCTGAATTCTATAGGCATAGACTGGTCACTCTTCATGGACATACAGCTGGGTACAGGTGAGTCCGATCTCTCATGCTGGGCCCTGTCAAAAACATAACATGAACATTAGTTAAACCACAAAACAAAGAATATCATGCCTTTTTGTTAAATGTGATGTCAAGTCACCCTCTTTTAGATTTAGAAATAGTGTATTTTTCCTCTGACAGTGTTCTATGATTTCTATTTGTCATTTCAATTGTTATTACTTTGTTACATTTCATGCTATTATGTAGAGGTAATGTTCTCCACCCCTAAACTTCACTGGCTTTTTCATAGACAGCAAACTCGTAAAATGTATCAACCCAGCTAACAAGGAACTTAACTGAGACATTTGTTACATTCCCCTTAAGTCTTCCAGAGGTACTGAATGTCATAGCCCTTTTGGGACAATATAGGCACATTCATAACGTTTCTAATAAGTATTATAGAGGTTATCAATATCAGGTCGCTATACAGACATCATGGGAACATTAAAAACGTTACTTGGTAGTCCATGAAAGGTTCTGAATATCATGTTATTTTGGAGATGTCCTAGGAACATATCATAACGTTACATTTAGAGCTATGGTTTGTCTTCATATGACGTTACAATCGGAATGATAGAAATACATTTTTGAACATCGTCTGTAAGTTTCACAATAACGTTATTATGACTTATGTGGGGACTAAAATAACTTTGTGGTCACGTCCTGGAACGCAATTTTGTTAGCTGGGAAGTATAATAAAATGTCATCCTCTGTCACGATCGTCGTAAACAGCGGACCAAGGCGCAGCGTGATAAGCGTACATTATTTTAATGAGTACACACACGAACAAAACAATAAACGATACGTGCCGTCCTAGGGTTAAACACAAACCTTACGGATCAAGATCCCACAAAACAAAAGTGCCAACAGGCTGCCTAAGTATGGTTCCCAATCAGAGACAACGAGAATCAGCTGCCTCTGATTGGGAACCACCCTGGCCAACATAGAAATACAACGATCTAGAACAGAAACCTAGAAAACTAAACCTAGAAACTAACACCCTGGCTCAACATTAAAGAGTCCCCAGAGCCAGGGCGTGACATCCTCCCCACCAAAAAAAGATATGCATGGGAATTTACCCTTGTTTTGTAGGAAAGGCTTTCTGTCTGAATTCTATAGGCATAGACTGGTCACTCTTCATGGACATACAGCTGGGTAAAGGTGAGTCTGGTCTCTGCTTGTGGATTGGGCTTCAGGACAACACAGAAAAACATTCCAGCTTTAATTCAAACTATCTGAAAATGATGGAATTGTATTGAGCTCCTTGCAGGATTTCAGATCTGCACACACAGATACTCAAACATACAGCACACAGACTGTTTTCACTTCTTATCTCAATGGAGTGGGTATTATCCACTGCAGGACTCATTTCAGTGTTGGGTACTGTGGAATCTGAGAGGCTGACAAGAACTGGAATTCCCATTTTTGTGTGTCGGCAGAACAAAAGGAGCATGTGTTGCGCCTCGCCAGAATCAAGGAGAAAGAGGTGACTGCCTTCGGAGCAGGGCACCAATCAAGGGTGTTTTTTCTGGAGTCTCTGTGGAAGTTGGGACTTAGAAGACCAAGATGAAAATGTCTGGAGTGTACTTGGGGCTTGACGATTGATGCTTTTTTTCAATGGAAAGAAGATAGAGAGTACGTCTGTATTACTGTTATTTTATGAGGAGTCGCTCCTTACACATGTCAAGATGGGATATGTGAATTACCCTGTGAGGGCATTTGTCCCCAGGTTACTGCAGTGTTCCAACTGCAAAGCATTTGGGCGTGTGTCAAGTGTTTGCAGCGAGTATGACTTGAGTGATTATTTTGTTGCGGAAGATGGCGTTGAATATCACAATTGTGGTGGGAAGCATGCACATGAGCATGGCCGCTGGAAGATGTTTAAGGGTGGGAGGGCTGAAAATGTTTTGTCCCGGTGCTGCTGATGGCTATTTTGGTCTGCTCATACTGGAGTAGTAAAGGCCCAGTGCACTACTTTTGTGAGAATTTTAAAAAAAAATATCAGGGGGGTGCTGTGGCTATGCACATGTGTTCCCTGAATGTCCTGTAAGGGTGGAGGCAGAGATTGCTAGGATAAATGCTGTTCCGCATTTCTCCAATGCTGAGGCATCAGAAAAAGTTAAAGAATGTTCTAGTGGTTTGGTTGCTGTGGAGACACTGCAGTCCAGTGCTGTGGGTGCTGTTTGCAAGGTGCAGGATCCAGATACCCTTGTCATGAAGAAAGGGGATATTTTGGCATGTATTGCTATGGTGATAAACTGCAGAAGTGGATAAGAACTCAAGAAATATCAATATCATTGTATCTGCAGCTGAACCAGGGCCGGGCCGCTCATTAGGCAGGATTAGGCGGCCGCTTACGGCGTCAGATTGACAAGGGCGGCATTTTCTGAGCCAAACTGACGAAGACTCACCTCCAACAACATAAAACCTCACATAATTCTGCCCAAAAACAATGACAAATTCTCTCAACCACTGGCGTAGGGGCTTTTTAGGTGAGCGCTGATGCCACCCTGTAAGCAGTGCCCACTTTGTCAAGCAGTGAGTGTATTTTGACAGACTGAGGGTTTTTCGTTTTTGTTATGTATTTAGTTTTTTTTTAGGACATTTGAGTGAATTCCCTTTTAAGTTTTGGATTTCCCCTTTTTTATTGGTCAGTGCTATCCGGAATCCTTGGGACATCCCTACCCTAAACCCTAACCTTAACCCCTACCCTTACCCTTACCCTAACCATAAACCTAACCCTAATCTTAACCCTTTTAAATTCAAACTTCAATGGGGTATGGACGTCCCAATGATCGCAGATAGCCCGAAACCTTTTTGAATTTTCCGCATACAGTAGTGGGCGACAATACACATCTGTAGTCTGCCCTAAAACACCACCGAAGAAAAAGAAGAATGGTTTCCACTAGTTACCATGAAAACAACAATTTTTGGTCTTAATTTAAGTTTATTGTTAGGCATAAGGTTAGTAGCATTGTGGTTAGGTTTAAAATCCCATTTTAATAAGATACATTGTAGAAATGGGCGTGGTTTATGACTGTGTGGCTGTGGTAACTAGTGACGACCGAAATCTACGTAACTTATGACGTTACTGTCTCTGGTCACGTGACTCCTTCCAAGGGGGCACCATGGAGGACATGTATATGCAACCTCAAAACAAACTCCTGCAATTGTATACTTAGCAAACCACCAAAATCGTGCGACAGGCCTAGGCCACGTTCGCCCGAGTACACTGCATCATGGACGAGGAGAATAAACTTCAGTTCCCGTCCCTTCCTTCGGCAAAGGATAATCTATTGGTAAGCGCTAGTATGCAAGCTAACGCAGCTAGCTAGCTACATCTTTCTGGTTAGCTAGCTAATGTCATGAAGAAGTTAGCTAACTTGCTAGCATACTCAAAAACAGCATGAATAACTTAGTCTAATAACATGTCATCTATCTCACTCTCTAAATTTGACTTTTAGCTAAATGTAATCATGTCTAAAGCATTTTTCAAATGCTCTCGTATCATATTTCTGATCAAATTAGATGTGTTCCGTTACCTACCTAGCTAACTAATTTAACTAGCTAGTTTGCTAGCCAAATATCGCCAGTCGAAAGAGTTCAGCTGTCCCATTGGCAAGTGTAGCTTATGCTCGCTACAAGACATCCATGCAGGGGTATATTGTGGCAGATGACTACTGACCGGCGATTTAGGTTTGGTGACTGCAGTGACTATTTATGCAGAGCGCTAGCCAGTCAGTTAACATATTCTATTGATTTTCTGATCTTTTCCTCAGGACTGGGCGTATCCAATGAGAAGAGAAATGCAGGTAACGTTAGCTAACTGCCCTTTTTGTCCCCAAAGTGGAATTATTGTAAGGGGCACCAGAAGTGACTGCTGCTGAGTCATATTGGCCATAGTAGCTAAATCATGTAATCTCATAATGATGTACCTAAAACCTGTTTCTCCATTGTTTTAGGAAATTCTACCAGGCCTGTTTTTAGGTCCCTACTCAGCTGCAATGAAAAGCAAGGTAATTTGGTATACCGTAAATCGACTGGGGTGGCTATCTGCTGAGGGCAGGTGTGGGTGCAGGCATTTGTTCCAGATCAGTCAAGTGGAAACCTTTTACTGTTTAACAACCAAACGGAACGAAACTGTGAGGGAACTACCCAAATTTGTCCAATAGTAACGCTCATTTGCAACAGATGAAACGTTTTGCAACAGAATTGGCGTAATGATTACACCCCTGATTCAACCAATCAAAGTATTGACTGAAGACTAGGTTTAGTTGATTACTAGAAGCTGGTGTGTTTCTGCTTGGCTGGAACAAAAGCCAGCATCCACACCGGCCCTCTACGTTGGTCATCGAAACATTGAAGGTCCTGGGCTTGGTTTTCTGATAGCGATGGAACTTAGGCTTACAAGTGTTTTAACGATCCAAAAACGACTGAAAAACACAACGCTGAGAGAATGTTAGTTAAGTGCGTTGTTGGAGCATGTGTTGATACTGATAGGATCGAAAGAAAGGCAGCGCTGCTCTCTATTCAGCTTTCTCCATTCAAATGTTACCTTGAAATTAGAATTATTCCACAATACTAATGACGGATCAGCTCCTAGAGAGATGCTTTTGGGAAACCGGGACTATAAAATCACTTTTTGAGATTCTACAATCTTGTTAACTCAACCCTTGTTAACTCAACCCTTGTGTTCTCTTTTAGCTTTCCGTCCTTGAAAGACAGGGGATAACCCACGTAGTGTGTGTCCGCCAGGATATCGAGGCCAATTTTATAAAGCCCAACTTCCCACATAAATTTAGGTAAGAGACAAACTGAGAACCGGTACTTGATGTGTTTGAAACCCAATGACATCTCTCACTTAAATCAACTAATTCATGTGGCCTGCTTTCTTCTGTTTTCAGATACCTCGTTTTAGATATTGCCGACAATCCTGTGGAAAACATGATTAGATATTTCCCTATGGTGAGTTTCAGCATGAGTGTGGTGGATAATGTTACATAGTATTGCAGTCTGCCCTGTTATTGTCAAAGGCCTACATATTTATATTTTTTCTCTCTTCACAGACAAAAGAATTCATTGATGGCTGTTTAGCCAGTGGAGGTAATAAGAATGTATTTAATTGAATAGAATATTGTCTTTAGAATTTAGTTGCAACAAACTGTGTGCATACAACAGTGTGCGGGTACTTTTACTTCAATGTTACAATTCTTGTACCCTGCACCTGGAGAATTGTTGGATTTTGCGATACACTACTATACAGTACTTTTGAACTCTTCAGGGAAATATATCTTGACTCTGTCCTTGTCTTGTTCCCATAGGAAAGGTACTAGTTCATGGAAACGCAGGGATATCAAGAAGGTTGGTCACATCTAATGTTATAGATTTGATTTTGAACAGATCCATAATGTTTGAAAATACTCTTCTTGCCTGCTTGTCTATTGATATTGATCTTCCTGTTAGACAAGTATCACTCTCAATCACAATTATTGTCTTCTCCTTTCAGCGCTGCCTTAGTTATTGCATACCTTATGGAGACATTTGGCATAAAGTACAGGTAAGACCATTCAACAAACCAAGCAGGCTTCATTTATTGCATAGACACTGTCCAGATGCATGGTGACCAAATATCTCGTACAATGTCCTGCTGAAAATTTGCTGGTTCTTCTACAGGGATGCTTTCAGCCACGTTCAGGAGAGGAGATTCTGCATCAACCCTAACGTGGGCTTTGTGCATCAATTACAGGTAGGGTCCTCTGTATTAGGTCGTGAACTCATCTTTTAAACAGCTCTGACCACTGAGATAGAAAAATTACATGAGGCATATTCAATGGTTTTCAACATGACAAAAGTGGCAGATGTCTGCTTGATACAAGACATTTCTGTCTGAATGGTTTGTAATGCTGCGCTCTCCATCTCTTGATGACGTGTTTTCTAGGAATATGAAGCGATCTACTCTGCTAAACTAACCATCAAGATGATGTCACCAATACAGCTGGGCAGATCGTTCTCCCTGCATGCTGGAATGCCAGGTCAGTGTGTGCATCTTGCATTCAGGTGACAGTTACAGGAATCTAGGCTCATTCCACGCTTGCCATACACGTCTGTTTCACCGTGGGTGCATTTGAGATGACTTACCAACGGCCTAGAAAGTAGTCGATTGCAGTCAGCGGAGGTTCTTACGTACAGACAACACATTTAGTGGTTTTCCAACCGCAAAGCTCATGGCAGTGTCAAAATAGCTACCGTTGTTCATAAGAGGTTTTAGTTAGAATGTCACAAACTCTTCTCTACCACCCTATATTTTCCAACAACACATTAACTAAATATCATATTCATTTGGATCCGCTATAGCAGGGGTACTCAAGTACTATTTGAGAAGGTTCCGATCACACAAATTTCCTAGGTGGCAAAGGTCCGGATGGATATCGTCTTTTATCGGCGTAGTAACAAACCCCCACCTCACAACCCATGCGACCCAACCTGTTCACACCCCTCTAGAAATTAACATTTTTAAAGCTAATTTGCCGCAATTCTACACATTTTGCGTGGGTCAGATAATTTTCTTGCGGTTTTAAAGCTAATTTCCTGAAATTCTACACATTTTTCCATGTCTGATGTGTGTTTATATGATACCAGGGGTTGAAGCCCGACCGCGGTCTGACAGTTGAGTATATGGGAGCACTATAGCTTATAAATGGTGGCAAAAATTATTCAGGTTCACGTAGGTCAAGCTAAACACCCTAATGATTGGGGGACAATTGTGCTTCCCATAATGGCTGCAGTGGGTGAGGAGCAACTACAGAGACTTGCAGCGCTTCGATCAAAAACGGCATGCCCTCCAATCATGTGGTTTATGCAGTCGACATGTAGGCTCAACTTTTATCCCCGTGTTACAACATGCATTTAAAGAAGTTGATCAGCAACTGAGCAGAATTAATGCTCTCAATAGTGCCCAAAGACAAGTGGTTCTTTCCCATGAAATTCAGGTGTTTACACAAAGTTTAGTAAAGGGATACTTCAGTATTTTGGATAATTTCCTACTTACCCGGATTCAGACAAACTCGCAGATACCATTTTTATGGGTCTGTGTGCAGTTTAAAGGAAGTTGAAGGTAACATTTCGTTAGCTTAGTTCAATTGCTGGAAGTCTCCAGTAAGGACTAGCCAGCACATGTCAAAAGCAGGGAAAGACACCTAACTACTTCAAAGCTGGGTGGTTGGTCGTTTATAGTCTTACAAAGCTATGCATAGTCATCGATATTTTGTAAATGTGTACATTTTACTGTTCAACGTAAGAAACAAGATTCTATCGACTTACTCATTCTGTCGTATAGAGATCACAACGTTGTATCTGTCCCATTATGGCATCTGTCAATGGCGTTGCCCATGCGCTCACAGGTGCCATGATGGGACAGATGCACCATTGCGATCTCTATGAGACAACGGGGCAGAATGAGGAAGTGGATGGAAGATTTCTGCTTCTTACGATTATCAGTAAAATGTATAAAATATGAATAACTATTTATAGCTTTGTAAGACTATAAATGACCAACCACCCAGCTTTGGAGTAGTTAGGTCTATTTCCCTGCTGGCTAGTACTTAATGGAGACTTCCAGCAATTGTGCTAAGCTAACAATATGCTACCTTCAATTTCTTTCAAACTGCACGGAGAGACATAGAATTGAAATTATCCAAAATACCGAAGTATCCCTTTTAAGTTCACCATCAGTCACCACTATCTTTCCCTCTCTTTATTTCTGGATGTTTGACCCTGTGAATGTCTGTACTTCGCAGGCAGCCTGAAACGAAGCCTGGAGGAAGACGAGGACTTCGGGGGAATGCAGGTCACTGCTGCGCAGAACGGATAGGCTTATTATGCAGAGAGCAGTGTCTTCGCATACAGTGCAGTCTTTTTTAACATTTTTATTGGGATTAAAAATGTTAATATTTCAACTTTTCTAAAGGGTGGGGGTGGGGAATTGGGTTAGCTTCCTGACGTCTGAGACCAAAGGGAGAGGGGTACAGTTTCATAAGTGACTTATTATTATTTGCTGTATGCACTGATGAGGTTTTTTGCAGTTTTATAGTATTTAAAGCATTTTGCATTTTCAGCGGGACAGTATTGCAATAATGCACTTTTGATACTTGAATTATTATTTCTCGCCAGAAGGGGGCAGTTGGCGTAAGGGACAGTGATATAAAGTCAATGCCTTATGGGAGAGATGGAGGCCCATATTTGGGAATTGGGAATGTTGGACAGAGATCAGGCTTAAAATGTGATGGTATTTAAATGAAATGGAGAGAAAAAAGCTTGCCAGAGAATTACGACCCACTGCTCAATAAACAGACGGCTAACATGTCTGTTGTACTGTCATTTCTTGATGATCAACTTAACACTTATGGAAGTTCAAGAAAAAGTGGGGAATAAAATAACTAAGCTAATGTGCCCAAATATTATAAGTCTCAGGTTTTATTATTTTGACAAATAGACAAAGTAACAACCAGTGGAATGTTAAAAATAATTTATTTGCATTTTACATAATTTATTCTTATAAATAAATGATCAAATACAAATGTCCCCAGTTGTCAAGACTAATTATGAAACTAAACTGAAAAAAACTTACGGTTGAATAAATAAGCTTGCACTACAATTACATTTAATTTACCCCACATAAAAATAAATGGCAATTCTTTGATCATATCTTCATACCAAATGTACTGTAGCTACAGTTGAAGTCAGAAGTTGACATGCACCTTAGCCAAATACATTTAAACTCAGTTTTTCACAACTCCTGACATTTAATCCTAGTAAACATTCCCTGTTTTAGGTCAGTTAGGATCACCACTTTATTTTAAGAATGTGAAATGTCAGAATAATAGTAGAGAGAATGATTTATTTAAGCTTTTATTTCATCACATTCACAGTGGGTCAGAAGTTGACATGCACTCAATTAGTATTTGGTAGCATTGCCTTTAAATTGTTTAACTTGGGTCAAACGTTTCATGTAGCCTTCCACAAGATTCCCACAATAAGTTGGGTGAATTTTGGCCCATTCCTCCTGACAGAGCTGATGTAACTGAGTCATGTTTGTAGGCCTCCTTGCTCACACACGCTTTTTCAGTTCTGCCCACAAATGTTCTATAGGATTGAGGTCAGGGCTTTGTGATGGCAACTCCAATACCTTGACTTTGTTGTTCTTAAGCCATTTTGCCACAACTTTGGAAGTATGCTTGGGGTCATTGTCCATTTGGAAGACCCATTTGCGACCAAGCTTTAACTTCCTGACTGATGTCTTGAGATGTTGCTTCAATATATCCATATAATTTTCCTTCCTCATGATGCCATCTATTTTATAAAGTGCACCAATACCTCCTGCAGCAATGCACCCCCACATCATGATGCTGCCACCCCCGTGCTTCATGGTTGGAATGGTGTTCTTCGGCTTGCAAGGTACCCCCTTTTTCCTCCAAACATAACGATGGCCAAACAGTTCTATTTTTGTTTCATCAGACCAGAGGACATTTCTCCAAAAAGTACGATCATTGTCCCCATGTGCAGTTGCAAACCATAGTATGGCTTTTTTATGGTGGTTTTGGAGCAGTGGCTTCTTCCTTGCTGATCAGACTTTCAGGTTATGTCGATATAGGACTTGTTTTACTGTGGATATAGATACTTTTGTACCTGTTTCCTCCAGCATCTTCACAAGGTCCTTTGCTGTTGCTCTGGGATTGATTTGCACTTCTCGCACCAAAGTACGTTAATCTCTAGGAGACAGAACGCGTCTCCTTCCTGAGCGGTATGACGGCTGCGTGGTCCCATGGTGTTTATACTTGCGTATAAAGATACAGTATGTGGACTCTGCCTGAGTGTGGCTCCATGTTGTTAATGCTGCCTCTGTCTCCCCAAGATTAAAATTGAGAGGTACAGTATGTTGTGGTTAGGCAGTAAGCCTGGGTGCCTGCCAGTCTGTTTCTGTTCCGTTGTCTGGTCCTGGTACAGTAATTATACAGCAGCACTTGAATGCTGAAACAGTTAGGTACCCAGGCTATGTTGTAGTCTGTTCAAAACACTTAGGTGTTGGGATTAGGACTTCAATCAAACAAACCCCTTGTCTCCTGATTTATCAGACCATCAAACTCTCTGCTACCTTTCAGAATGTTTAGAGAGAGTGAAAGTGAAGATAAAATACTGTAGAGAAACTTTCTTCTGCAGTTTTAGCGTAGTGTTTTGTGAAAATGAATGAGAGTTATGTTTTGTAGGAGGATCTACACCATCTTTCGTGTCTGTATATCCCATACCATGTTTCTTCTCCCCATCCTCCATTTCACAAACGCTGTGCTCTGGGCAGATGGCAAATACTTTGAAGAGATGGTAGGTTGTTTTTCTCATAGTTGTTAGCGCCAGACTTGTCTCAGAGATTCATAGAAAGCCAACAAAACAGGCCTATTCATGCCGTCGCGGTCCCTTGTGTTTGAGGCAATTTGTCTTTCATGTTAACCTTATTGGTAACAATTTACAGTATGTACAGCCTGCAGACACAGTAAGCTCCAAAAGTATTGGGACAGTGACACATTTTATGTTGTTTTCTTTCTGTACTGCAGCACTTTGGATTTGAAATGATACAATGACTATGAGGTTACAGTGCAGACTGTCAGCTTTAATTTGAGGGTGTTTTCATCTTTTTTCCAAGATGGCGAAGTAGTGCAGTCCTGTTTCTGTCGTGTGTCTGTAAATAGCCTGTAAATACCCTGTTTTTTGTATTTTTCGTACATATTTCCCTATCAGACTTTTCATCCTTCTACAAAATATACTTTCCTGCAACCCGCCTCACTCAATGTGGAACGGATTCTATTATCGACTTACCTTTATCTAGAATCTAGAATCTCCAGTTGAAACTAGCTAGCCAGCTAACTAGCTACTTGCTATTAGCCACAGCTAGCGGTGTTTCACCCAGAACATTGGATTTTTTTCCGCGGGATTAATTTTAATCACTGGACATTGATCACCGGATATTCGGCCAGTCTGCACAGCGCGTTATCAACCCAGAACATATCAGTTTTTCCGCCTGAATCACTGAATCACTGGACCTTTAACTCCGGATTCATCGCTACCAGCTAGCTACCACCAGCCAGCTACAACAAAACGGACGCTGTGGTCTGGCTAATCATCCTGAGCTAGGCCCATCGCCCATCTCCCGGCTATCTACCTCTCTGTCAACCGGACGGGACCACCTAGTGTTGACACGGAGCCCCGCCGATCCTACACGACTGGTCTGCCGACGAAATCGTCTGATGTGGTTACGACGTTAACCACGAAGATTCCATCCATCTGCTAGCCCTGGCCCGCTAGCACACGCTAGCCGTGGCCTCTTACTAGTGCTTCACCACCGGACCTTATGATAACTCAGCTATACAGCTGATATCTGCTGGACTGTTCCTTTTTACGGTACTACATCCTGTTTATGTTTAGCCTCAGCCCAAACATGGTTAGTTTATTGTTGTTTCGGTTATTTCTAATTGTACTATATCACTGTAGACCCCCCAGCCTAGCTAAACCTGCCTTAGATAGCTCCTTTGCACCTTCCCCTATACACGCGGAGACCGACTCAATTGATGACTCCAGCGATGCTATCTCTTTCATTGTTACCCAACGCTTAGGTTTACCTCCACTTTACTCATATCCTTCCATATCCTTGTCTGTACATAATGCCCTGAATCTTTTCTATAACACCCGGAAATCTGCCCCCTTTATTCTATGTACCCAACGCACTAGAAGACCAGTTCTTAAAGCATTTAGCCGTATCCTTATTCTAGTCCTCCTCTGTTCCTCTGGTGATGTAGAGGCTAACCCAGGCCCTGCAGCCCTCAGTATCACTCCTACTCCCCAGGCGCTATCATTTGATGACTTCTGTAATCGCAAAAGTCTTGGTTTCTTGCACATAAATATCAGAAGTCTACTTCCTAAGTATGAGTTATTCACTGCGTTAGCACACTCTGCCAACCCTGATGTTCTAGCAGTGTCTGAATCCTGGCTCAGGAAGGCCACCAAAAATTCTGAAATTTCCATCCCCAACTATAACATTTTCCGTCTAGATAGAACTGCCAAAGGGGGTGGAGTTGCAATCTACTGTAGAGATAGCCTGCAGAGCTCTATCATACTATCCAGGTCTGTGCCCAAACAGTTTGAGCTTCTACTTCTAAAAATCCACCTTTCCAGAAATAAGTCTCTCACTGTTGCCGCTTGCTACAGACCCCCCTCAGCCCCCAGCTGTGCCCTGGACACCATATGTGAATTGATTGCCCCCCATTTATCCTCAGAGTTTGTACTGCTTGGTGACCTAAATTGGGATATGCTTAATACCCCAGCCATCCTACAATCCAAGCTAGATGCCCTCAACCTCACGCAAATTATCAACGAACCTACCAGGTACAACCCTAAATCCGTAAACATGGGTACCCTCATAGATATCATCCTGACTAACATACCCTCTAAATACACCTCAGCTGTCTTCAACCAGGATCTCAGCGATCACTGCCTTATTGCCTGCGTCCGTAACGGGTCCGCGGTCAAACGGCCACCCCTCATCACTGTCAAACGCTCCCTAAAACACTTTAGCGAGGAGGCCTTCCTAATTGACCTGGCCCAGGTATCCTGGATGGATATAGATCTCATTCCGTCAGTAGAGGATGCCTGGTTGTTCCTTAAAAGTAATTTCCTCTCAATCTTAAATAAACATGCCCCATTCAAAAAATACAGAACTAAGAACCGATATAGCCCCTGGTTCTCCTCAGACTTGACTGCCCTTGACCAGCACAAAAACATCCTGTGGCGTACAGCATTAGCATCAAATAGCCCCCGCGATATGCAACTTTTCAGGGAAGTTAGGAACCAATATACACAAGCAGTCAGGAAAGCAAAGGCTAACTTTTTCAAACAGAAATTTGCATCCTGTAGCACTAACTCCAAAAAGTTTTGGGACACTGTAAAGTCCATGGAGAATAAGAGCACTTCCTCCCAGCTGCCCACTGCACTGAGGCTAGGAAACACTATCACCACCGATAAATCTACAATAATCGAGAATTTCAACAAGCATTTTGCTACAGCTGGCCATGCTTTCCATCTGGCTACCACTAACCCGGCCACCAACTCTGCACCCTCTGCTGCAACTTGCCCATGCCCCCCCCGCTTCTCCTTCACACAAATTCAGACAGCTGATGTTTTGAAAGCGCTGCAAAATCTGGACCCCTACAAATCAGCTGGGCTAGACAATCTGGACCCTTTCTTTCTAAAACTAGCCGCCGAAATTGTCGCAACCCCTATTACTAGTCTGTTCAACCTCTCTTTCATAACGTCTGAGATCCCCAGAGATTGGAAAGCTGCCGCGGTCATCCCCCTCTTCAAAGGGGGTGACACTCTAGATCCAAACTGCTACAGACCTATATCCATCCTGCCCTGCCTTTCGAAAGTATTCGAAAGCCAAGTTAACAAACAGATCATCGACCATTT